TTCTATCTAAATTTTATAAATCTAGAAGATTATAGATAAACGTTACGTTCGAAACAATTCAATTTCCGACAAGCTTAGTTTTGTTGTACGTACATATATGATTTCTGACTCACCAGAAGTATTTTCAAAAATGATCTAACTGCGAAGTTAGATGAAATAATCCTGTTGTGTACTTCCAATAGAATAAAATATCGTTTTTATAAAACTACTAATTAGAAATACAGATATAATAAAGAAAATTGAAAAGTACTTAACACAGCAAAACGCGTTGTCACTTGGCAGTCGCCATGTTTATTATAGTGCATACATATCTTCATTATCTACATATATATATATATTTTACACAGTCATATATAACGCATATACAGATGCAACAATAAAGAAATGGAACTTTAATACGGTTATATTAACATAATATTTTTAATAGACTAATTATAAAACATAAAGAAGCACCTAAATTACTATCCCTTATGTATTATCCACAATAACGTGTACATTGTCACTATGTAGTAGTTCTAGATGTACATTTCTACATAATGGAAAGTCTTCAAATTATACTCGAGGCTATACTAATCTGTATTTACATACCTACATCTATGTTGCAAGATGCAAATCACCATTCAAATAAATAATCAAGAAACTTTATTGTCATTTAGAATCGTAGACTATATTTTTTCTATTTACTTTATCGTACTTGTATATTATACAGATATATATTTCATTTAATATAATTAAAATTTATAACTGTTTAAATTAATGATATCCATTGCTAATAAATAATACGAAAAATGTATGAACAACACTAAAAAGAGTACAATTATAATATTGTTTCAGTCGCATTCATATTCCCCACTCCGTGGCCCCTACCATTTTAATTAACTGTTAGATTCAGTAGATTGTTTGTCCACCTATGGACAGTAGTGCCTTACCATAGTAAGGCGGGAGCAACCGGCATAGACTTATGAAGTAGAGTTAGAGAAACTGCTTCTTCTCTGATTGGCTGACGCACAGCTGGCTTGTAGCCACACATGTGGTGAAGCCATACATTAGCTTCACAGCTACACAGTGCTGCCCTCACTGCTCTAGACAAAGAGAGAAAGTGACGAGTGAGCAAGAGAGCACATCAGCACAGCACAAGCGAAACAAGTCACATCGCCAACCAATGTAGGTTGTTTCACTTTACCGTGCTTGCGGTCTCACTCTTTTCGCGCGTTCGTATACCTGGTGCTCCATCTGAAACACGGTGGCGCGATATTCGACTTGTACTTTTCGCCCCGTAGGATTCTCGACCACACAGTCCAGCGTATTTGCGAACGTCTTGAAACGACGATCATTTTTCCAATTATTAAAATTGTTGAAATTGCGAAATTATTCGTTGCTTTCAAAACTCCTCGTAGAGTAGAGCATTGATTGCTGCCCGTTGTGTAGTTGACAAGTACTGGGATAGCTGAATTAACAAAATCGTGTAACTTACGAGTTTTCGAAAATTTTAATAATCGTCGTTTCAAGACGTTCGCAAATACGCTGGACTGTATTGTTGAGAATCCTACGGGGCGAAAGGTACAAGTCGAATATCGCGTCGCATGTTTCAGATGGGGCGTCAGAGGTACGGATGCGCAAAAAGAAGTGAGACCGCAAGCACGGTAAAGTAAGGCGACCTAGGTTTCTCGTTCGTTTGCGCACGCATAGAACCAGCTGGTTTCATTCTGTCTCTCTCGATTATCTCCCATTCTCTTTCTAAAGCAACTGCGCCGACTAGGATGCGCATTAAAATGGTGGGGATAAAAATACTTACATACTACATATAAATGCTTACTATGCCAGAATAGTTCACTATGGTGAGGCACGATTGTGTTGTACACATAGTATTATCCTGTGTAAACGTTACTTGTATTGTGTGGCATCAGCTTGTCAGAAAATATTTGAGATATATTTGCTATTCCTTGAATTCAATATTCAGTGGTAAGAAATAGTATTTAAGAAATGTATTAATTTTTGTAGATTATGAGTATTTAATGTTAATATTTTAGGTTATAATCAGTGACGAATGGGAATTTGAGGTTATCCTACATTAGGAGCGTGCTAAATAAATGTTTTGTTTTTCTTTTTAATATAAAATTTATATTTACAAGCAAATATTCAACTTTATACAACGTTTTTCAAGTAAAATAAAGGTTAAGAAATTAATTGATTTTATTAATGAAAGAATATTATTGTATACTTTATATTTATACTTCTGTTAATTGTTATTGAAAATTTGACACTATTGCTTTGATATTTCAGTGTCAAGATGAAGAGATCACATTCTAGAAGCGATCGAGATGGCTATGAACATCAAAGTCATCGTTCAAGAGATCGCTATTACCATAGTGATAGAAGTAGTAGAAGGAATGATAATTACAAAAGAAGTCATGATTATGAAGAATCACATGCAGAGGAACGATCTTATGGACAACATGATATGAAAAGATCAAGAGATTATGAAAAAGGAAATAAAAGGAAAGAAGAAAAAGATAAAGTAACAAACAAATCTATGGAGAAGAGAGATGGGAAAAATACCTCTGACGAGGTAACAACAAGACAAAATAGAACAGTTGATTTAATAACATCAAAAACTGGAGGTGCATATATTCCACCTGCAAAATTAAAAATGATGCAAGCAGAAATCACTGATAAATCTGGAGCTGCTTATCAACGTATTGCGTGGGAAGCCCTAAAAAAATCAATCCATGGTTATATTAATAAAGTTAATGTTAGTAATATAGGACTTATAACTCGAGAACTTTTGAAAGAAAATATTGTCAGAGGTAGAGGTCTGCTTGCTCGATCTATAATCCAAGCTCAAGCAGCGTCTCCAACTTTTACTGCTGTTTATGCAGCTCTTACTGCAATCATTAATTCTAAATTCCCTAATATTGGAGAATTAATATTAAAACGACTTGTAATACAATTTAAACGAGGTTTTAGAAGAAATGATAAACCTCTTTGTATTTCATCAGGTACATTCGTAGCACATTTAGTAAATCAAAGGGTTGCTCATGAAATACTGGCATTAGAAATATTGACGTTGCTAGTAGAGACACCAACAGACGATTCTATTGAAGTAGCCATTGCATTTTTAAAAGAATGTGGTATGAAATTGACTGAAGTCACTAGGAAGGGTATTGAAGCAATATTTGAAATGCTACGAAACATATTACATGAAGGTCAGTTAGACAAAAGAGTTCAATATATGATTGAAGTTATGTTTCAAGTTCGAAAAGATGGATTTAAAGATCACGAAGCAGTTCCAGAAGAGCTTGATCTTGTTGAAGAAGACAATCAGTTTACTCATCTAGTGACATTAGATGAAGCAACTGATTCTCAGGATATATTGAATGTCTTTAAATTTGATACGGAATATGTTATTAATGAAGATAAATATAAACAGTTAAGTAAAGAAATATTAGGTTCAGATGTTAGTGGATCAGAAAGTGAAGAAGATGATGAAGAAGAAAGTTCGGATGAAGATAGCAGTACTGCTGTAATGGAAGGAAAAGAAGATGTAATTGTAGATAATACTGAAACAAATTTAACAGCCCTTAGAAGAACGATATATTTGACAATTCATTCATCTCTTGACTTTGAAGAATGTGCTCATAAATTGATGAAAATGCAACTGAAACCTGGACAGGAAACAGAACTCTGTCATATGTTTTTAGATTGCTGTGCAGAAATGAGAACGTATGAAAAATTTTTTGGTCTATTGGCAGGTCGATTTTGTGCCATTAACAAGATGTATGTCACTCCATTTGAACAAATTTTTCGAGATTCATATCACACAATACATCGTTTAGATACAAATAAGTTACGTAATGTATCAAAGTTCTTCGCTCATTTATTGTTTACTGACTCTATCTCGTGGGAGGTACTGTCTTGTATAAAATTAACAGAGGATGATACTACAAGTTCTAATAGGATATTTATCAAAATCTTATTTCAAGAACTTTCAGAATACATGGGACTATCTAAACTTAATCAACGCGTTAAAGATGTTACGTTACAGGAAGCTTTTGAAGGATTATTTCCCAGAGATGATCCAAAAAATACTCGATTTGCTATCAACTTTTTTACATCAATTGGTTTGGGTGGACTTACAGACGATTTAAGAGAACATTTGAAATCTCATCCAAAGCCAGCGATAGCACCTGTATTAGAACAAAAGCCTGAAAGTGCATCTAACGAGACTTCCCCGTCTAGTTCAAGTACATCATCATCTTCCACATCTTCATCTTCTTCATCCAGTAGTTCAAGCTCAGATGATTCTGATTTTTCCTCGGAAGAAGAAACTAAAAGGAAGAAAAAAACAAAGAAAGAACGAAGGAAAAAGCAGACTATAAAAGAGAACAAAAAGAAACATAAGAAAAAAGATAAGAAAAAGGTTAAAAAGCCTAAATAAAATATATGCACAATAATTTTTTGTCGTTTCCATTCTTTATTAATATTATTAAAGCATTTCGTATGCTTTATATGTATGTATACAGATTATTTATAATAATCGAAAATCCTTAGAATGTAATTAATTTGTAATAAATATATTTTCATCACAACGATTACCTATATTCTTGACATATTGCATGATAAGATCATCAATTAAAAACAAAACAAATGACTTAATAACATAATTTGCGTTTAGTAATCATTTCTGATAAGACATATCAAAGTGAATATGATATTGTTGTTATATGTGAATGTATATTAATACCTGGATAAGCCTGTAAGATTCCAAGATATTTTCGGACAAGATTAAAATAACACTCTCGCGAAACAAATAAAAAGCTTTCGTTTCTTTAAAGAAAATCAAAATAAATCGTCACCGCCACAACTTTAGTCTAACGTGCACAATATTAAGCTTGCCCTGGCAATGAACGTGGATAGGTGCGTTCTGTCAATGTAGGTGTACGGAATGTAGGCTGTTTTGACGGGGAGATCACGTGATTAAATACAGAATTTTCTTCGTTATAAACTTGCGGTTTGTTACCGGTGACGAGCTTATAGAGGAATAGATGCCAATGATGGCGAATATGCGAGCGAGAGAAAATGAAAGCGGGAAAGAAATGTAGCACGATACTGTCTACACATATACAATTGGTGGGGCTAGTAACGAGTTTATAGCGTAGAGGACAAATCGAACTCATAACGAGAAAATATTGTACTCATGTCAGCCGTTGCCACCACCACCATCACCACCAGCAGTGCTGTCGTCGTCCGACCAGCCGACACTATGCAATGATCCGTAGATACGCAGACTCAACCATTCCACATCTTTCGGAAGCGAGCGTGGTTACGCGAGATCTGTAACCTGCATGTATGTGTACGCATGTATGTTGTATTATGTGTGAGTGCCGCCACACTGGTTGATAGATACGAGAATACGATAGAGACAAAGCTGCTAAAGTAGTAGACAGGGAAGCACGGTAGGAGGCTAAGCATAATGCTAGTTCGGTGGACGTTGCAGTGTTAAAAAGGGGTATAGTGAACTTCGATCGACGACGTGACAATTGTGAAAGAGATCGAAGACGCGCAAAATTTGCGATAGTTCTATGCCATCCAAGCCAAAGACATGAACGAGAGAGGCGGTTCCATGTATACACATGCGAATAGAAAATTGTCTCTAATTAAGAGTATAATGCTCTGTGCGTTTACAAAAGTGTACAATGGTATACGTCCGCTTTAAGGATCCTGTGCCACCTCCTTGTGTTTACATACGCATGGAATTATAGTGTATGTGTATATGTGTGCAAAAAAAAGCAAGGTGAAGTATTTGTACCAGAAAAAAAGACACTAGTGGAGGGAGAGGAAGGGCGGAGGGAGGGAGGGAGGGAAGGCGAATACACGCATGCAATCGACGAAACGTCTTGCTACGAAAACGCACTGGTGTTTCGATGTGTTATAATATTACGTTGTATTAACATTGGATGGCCGACTTATGGATATTTTACGCGGCCCCGCGTTGTTTGTGACTAACAGCGTGCAACGCGACCAAAAATATGCGTATCTTTTTGAGCGGTTCTTCGTTTCCGAGTTCGTGTGCGATCGATACGTCAGTTCGTCGCGATGTGTTAAGTCAATCCGTTGTCTGACGATGTCATTCATAATGTTCATCAGTCGAACATGTCATCGGTTTCATGATTTCTTTAATAAATAGTATAATTAACTATTTATTTGTACTCGTACATCGCCATAAAGAACGACAATAGTGTCGGTGGTGTCGGGTGGTAGTGACAGTGAGGTCGACAACAACGACGACAACGACAACGACGACGACGACGACGACGACAACGACGGTGGCGGTGACTGTGACGGCGGCGGCAGTGACAGTGGTGGTAGAAATAACTGTGGCGGCGGCGGCGGCGGTGGCGGTGACGGTCGAATGGCGGTCGCGGTGGCGATCGTGATAGCGACGGTAGCGACGGTAGTAACGATAATACCGAAAACAGCGACGATAGAAACGACGGCAGTGATAACGAAGATCGCGAAACAATGGATACACTTATAACCGGAGGGATTTCTTGTACCATAATAAGACGATAGATGGAAAAATATGCAAACAAAATCAACGAGAAGCAAAAAGAGAAGAAGAACTGATTGCGAACTATAGAGAAGGATTCGCGAACAAACAAAGTGAACAAATGTAAAATTGAAAGGAATAAAACAGTTTCGACCGCAGGTTCGTTTACAGTGGCGGGTATATCGTTTTCTTTTTTGTTTAAGTATATCTGTATACACACTCGTTCTGCAAGTACGAATTATCATGTGCATGGAAGCGACGTTGCGATGGACAATAGACTGTGGATAATAGATAGTCGGATCTTTGTGTTGAACATAATATTACGGCAAGGGGAACAGACTTAGAGAAAGACATATGAACGGGTTAAGCGTATACTCGTCTCGCGTGCCAAAGGAGAAGCGACTGGATGTAACAGTGCATCATCTGAGATGAACACATCGTATGGTTGCTCACTAGTGCTATTTATCCCCCGTGATCGTAAATGTGGACTACATGAATGACACGAGTGTTGAATTAAGTAGTGCAAAGTGAACGCGTGTAGGTTTTGTATATTGTAGGTGTAAATACGCCTATGTTACGGTTCGTACGAAAGAGCGTGGTATGTCAGGAGCTGTCTCGAAGATTTCATACAACGAACGAGCTCGCTATCTTGTTGAATCTTTGTACACGCGAAACGAATAATGGAGACCTTATTGCCTGGCAATACAAACAGTCAATCGTACAGTCCGCAATTAAAGACCGTCTTAAAGACATATCAGCTATCCGCTGTGAAAAGCTTACAGGGTCCGAGCTCGGCTTTGCTTGGTATGGACTGTAAGAGCCTATTACAAGATCAGGCACCTTGTTACTCCCCTTCGAGTCGATCGAGTAATTGTGTCATTGATTCAGCATCCGAGCAAGTCTCTACGAAAGATATTGAAAAAGATAATAATTTATCAGTGACACCTCTTATCCCATGTAAAGTTCGCAGGACGGATCAACCGCTTGAAGATTCTGACGAGGATCCTCAATTAGAGCGCTCGAAAAATGTTTGTGAGAAGAGAGAATTGGAATTTCAAATTCCAATTCTAACTGCACCCGATCAAAGTTGTTCCGAAAGATGCGAGACTGTTTTAGAGGGTGAAAGGATATCTTGTTTTGTGGTAGGAGGTGAAAGGAGGTTATGTTTACCACAAATTTTGAATACAGTGCTGCAAGATTTCTCACTTCAACAGATCAATCAAGTGTGCGATGAATTACAAATTTATTGCTCACGATGTACACGAGATCAGTTAGAGGAACTAAAACATTCAGGAATTCTGCCCCGTAATGCTCCTTCCTGTGGCCTTATTACTCAAACAGATGCCGAAAGGCTTGTCAGTGCTTTGCTTTTAAGGACAGAATCATGTGACCTCTCTAAAATTGGTCCAAACGAGGATAATACAGAAAAGATCGTGTCTGCTAAAAGTGATACCAATAAAGAAGCTATTGTCAAATTTAAAGTATATCACGAGTGTTTTGGGAAATGTAAAGGCATTTTTGATGCAAGTTTGTTTGAATCTGACGATTCAGTATGTATAGAATGTATCGAATGTGGCTGCCAATTTTCACCTCAATGTTTTGTTAGACACGCTCATAGATCTCTCGAAAATCGTACTTGTCATTGGGGTTTTGATTCTGCAAACTGGAGATCATACCTATTACTTTCACGGGAACAAGACAATTATAATAAATCACTCAATATATTTCGAGAATTAAAAGAAAAACATCTGTTATTGGGTTCCAAACGAAAATCAGAGGTATTGTACTTTCCATATTACTTCTTTCAAGTATTTATATTTGATATAATTTTCCAATTTTACTGCTTAATTAATACTGATTGTATATTAAAATACGAATAGAAGAAGAAAATAAAGAATCCTTTTCCAGTTGCGCCATGATTCAGAAAGATTGGCTAAACGAATTAGAAGAGATGTAACAAGAGATGAATGTCCAGGAATATATAACGGAAGTGGCTTAGGCTTATATCATCCTGTATCACAGGTAGCTAATGCAACTGATCCATATCTACAAATGCAATGGGCAGTTTTTGAATTAGCAGCTAGAGGGGCATCAGCTTTTCGACCTTGGAACACTACAAGTACTTGCAAGCATAAAGATAGGTAAGGATAGCATTGAATATATATATACACACTCGCATCAGTATTTATGTTGACACGTAAGGTTCTATTATAAATGATAGTTAAAAAATAAAGTTTCAATGGCATAAGTGTAAGAGCTTATTTATCGTATAGATGTGTTTATTGAAGTTTAACAAAAAGAAGAAAGTACATGAAATGCAAACTAATTCCTATACAGATTGTGTAAAACAGCAAAATGTTTAATATAACTGAAGATGGAAAGTATGACATTGACATTGCAATTTAATGCACATCTTACATTATTATAACTTTTTTAGTATGAAGTTTGACATTCTTTGGCTCTTACTATTTCTAAAAGGCGACTTGGTATAGTTCTAATTAATTTTTTCAGCACAGTGGAGCTTAATTCATTCCATTTTTCCTTCAATGCTTTTATAAATTTTGATTTTATGTATCTTTCAGTTACAATTATTCAACGATCTAATTCCTCCCACAAATGCTCGATAAGCTTCAGATCGGGGCTTTGAGGTGGCCATGAAAGCAAATTTAGATTTTTGGTTTCAAAAAGTTCTTTTATAATCCTTGAGGTGTGCTTTGTTGCATTTATGCATAGAAGAAAACAAAATCTCCTATAATAATTCAACATACTTGGAGTCAGAGTCAGTTTCCCTTCAATTATTATTGTTTCATGGTTGGAGTTATAAGAGTTGGTTTAAACGCATCTCCTACTTTCCTCCATACATATTGTCTTTTATTTGACTTCATTTCAAATTTTGGTTCATCATTTCAAATAACTGTTTTTCAGAAAGAAATTGGCTTTTTAGAATATATCTGAGCAAATCTTAAATGCTTTGCAGCATCGATTTTTGAAATATATGGCCTTTTCCGTGATATACGGTCATGCAGATTGCCTTCATTTATATGAGATTTTATTTGTGTAATTCTAATGGGCAAACATAAATTTTCTTTCAATTCTCTGACACTAAAAAATGGATTTTTTTTAACTTCTCGAACTATTTAATCTGTCTTGACTAATTCCTCCTTCTTCCAGTTCTAGTTAAATTTGTTGGTCATCTAGCAATATTTATTTTTTTAAATATCTTTCTTACACCTTCTCTCGAAATGCTGAAGTTCATAGCAATATTTTTCAAAGATTCGTCATTTGCTGGACAATTATAAATTTGTACTGGTTGCACTCAATTCTCTAACTTTCAGAATTTTTGTTTTTTTCTTCTAGAATTTTTTCTTCAGAATTGTGTATACACAAAATATATCATTTAAACTTCTTTAGATATGAAAACATACAAATAACTAACTACAAACCTAATATTTTAATAAAAAAAGCAAGAATAATTCAAGAATTATATTTTTAATTGAAAAATCTAGAGTAATACTAATAGTTTGGCTTGAAGGTGTCAACATAAATACTGACGCGACTGTACGTTTAAAGTAAGAACACAATAAGTTGTATAATATAAATATATGATGTTTTCTGTGAACAGCCCATCGTTGGTGCCTGCATATCTAAGCCGAGGTCCACCTGTATTGCAACATCCAGAACGTGTGGTTCCACTCTCTGAATGTAAACGTTTTGAACCACATTTTCAACCAAATGTAGCCTTAGCACCTATACCTGCACCATCAGTGCCTGTAGTACTTCCACCATCTGCCCACCATCAACGACGGCATCACCATGAACACAAACGTTATAATCATCACTTATCAAGCCCTAATGAGAAGAAAGAACCTCCATCAGACAGTGTAAAACTTGAGAAAACTCCTAGGTCTCCTAGTTCTGGACCTAATGTTGGCACTTATTCTGCATTCCCTTCATATACATCTGAAAGCAATCAGAAAGAATTGCCACAGATAACTAAAAATGATGTCGGTGAAGAAGAAGAGAGTAGTACTGCAGTAACATCTTCAACAGTGAACATAGAACCACCTTCAACGGACATTGGTAACTCTGCACTGGAAAGTGATTCTGACTCAGAAGGAACAACAGCAATAGATTTAGAAGATAGACTAGTGGCTTTAGAAGTACCGCAAGATGTCCTGGAGCTAGCACGGCGTATAGTTTCAGAGAATGCACAGTTGCGACGTCATCGGCGTTCGGATGCCCGCGAAATATCTCGATTGCGCAATCAATTACAAATGCAACAGCAACTACAATCTAATTGTGATGATAAAAAGGAGGAACCAGCAAATGCAAGCGCAGCAGACAGTACAGAAGGTAGTGAAGCAACGGAAGCTATAATACCTTCAAATGATAAAGAGTCTGAACCTGTTGTTCTAGCAGTTAGTAAAGAATAAAATCAATGATTAGAGTTTTTTAAATTATTTAATACAAAACTGCTCAGCAATTTTTTGCATCGCTTATCTTTTGGCCAGATAGGCGTGCATTAAATTTAGTATTAGATCTAATAATAATGATAAAATTCTAAATGAATAAAAATCTGTTTAGGTTTATGTGATACATAGAAAGCCTTCAACATTGTAAAATTTAATTTCAAATTTTTATTGTAATCATATTTCATTGTATCGATTTTTAACTAAAATCGAATGTAGATATTGTAATATATGGAAAAGCAACATAAGTTAACCAGAATTTACC